TATCAACTAAGTTTGATTATTCAATTGTAACTGCATAGTATAAGCAATTGCACCAATTGCTCCTCTAAAGTCAAAGGAAAAAGCTATTACTCTACTATGAAGATGAACTAAAAGGAATAAAAACAAAAGAAAAAAAATTGAAAAACTATATATATAAAAAAAGAGAAATCTAAACAACATAAAAGTTAAATCTAAACCAAAAGCGTGAAATTCTCCTCATGGACAATCAAAGATGCCCTTCACATCCACTAATGTAAATGAAATATGGAAATGGAATGTAAAATGTGTATATTTGATTAGCCTAAGAAATTTTAACATATATATAAAAGTGAGTGATCCAGATAAAAACGCTAATATGTATCAAAATCTCATTACACTAATAATAATATATTGGACATTATATAAAGAAAGTGTGTGTATGATGTTAAGATTAGTCATGTTAGCATCATTAGAACCACCAAGATAATTAATATTAAACACTAAATTAGTTTAGAAAATCATAGCTGTTAAATTAAGAAATATCCTATAATATACCGAAATATTTTAAGTATATTCCCTACATATATAATTAAGATTCAAATTTCTTAAGAGCCATCCTTCTCACAAAACTTTAACACGCAGGGCATGCAGTTCCTTGTCTCGAGCCTCTGCAAGAGCTTGCAAAGTCTCTTTTGTCCAAGAACACACCCTGTCTCCAAACAAGACTCTCATCAACCCCGACACGAGAACGTAATCCATGGGCACAAATGTGGTCCCCAAGGTAGCGATCGGGAACTTGGTCCAGGTCAGGGACAAAGCATTGTACACGATGGTGCCAACCAGAAGCGACTTGCTGTCGGGAATGCTTCCAGCCATCCGCAGCTTCTTCATCTTCTGCTCAGTATAAGCGAGCCTGTCATTCTGCTCAGCCAGCCATTCTTGCTTCTGGGCCTCACTTGGAGCTTGGTATACACTTCCCGGGTTCTCTTGGCACCACTTCTCCTTGATGCCCTCGAGATACATGTCAAAGCTTTCAGGGTCGATGGCACCCTTCTCGACTTGGACGGAGGCTTTGGGATGCAGCACCGCGCAAGCCCAATCACCATCTGCGAGGATAAGCATATGCACAGGCTTGTACCTGTGAATGTTGAGGTTGGCGATAGCTGCGCGAGAAGCATACTCCGCTAGCTGGTAAAATGCCGACTGTTCCGCCGTCTCTGGATCCCACACGAAGTTCTTTTGCTTGGAATCCGTGATAAGCAGCGTGAACGTCTTGCCGATATCCCGGTACCCGCCAGTCTCAGGAAACCCATGGCCATAGCCACGAAAGTCGACCGCCTGCCAGGGCCCCAAATCGTCACCATCCTCATGAACAAAGTCAATGTAATGTCGACTATTCCCGTCAGAGCTATCAGCTGTGATCCGAGACGATCCAGAAGCATTTTGTAGAGCCGAGGCATCTAGAGCTGCCAAGCCGCTCATAGCTTCGTCACTCGGGACATGATCCCCCTCGCGCTGCTTGAGAAGCTCTGCATCTCCCGCCAGTGGGGCAAGGTGAGTGAAGAGGGGGAAGAAGGACGCAGCTAACTTCCTCTCACTGGATCGGTAGCATCTAGCCGCCTTCTGCATAGCGGGAAGGAGATGCTCCAGAAGAAAGTAGTCGAGAAGCTGCTTGTCTACCCCGTTGACGCGCGTCACCTTACCGCTCGCGTCTTCCTCGCACGGCGCCTCTGTCTCGAACTTGTCCACAGTACCAGCACACACATTCACAACGGGGTTCGAGATTTCGAAATCGGTCCGTGTCATGGAGCTCGCAGTTACCTCAAAGGACGATTTCCGCTTTGCCATCGCTCGTCCCAAACCTAGAAATATCTGCACTGCCACAAGTGGGCCTTCCACATGCGCACTTTTTTCCTTCAAAGTTTTTTTTCTTGTCTCAGTTAAATTTGTTTTATGGTATTTTAATTTTCTTTTTATTAAATTTACTATTTTAATCTGGTATAATTATATAATTAGTTAATATTTATTAATAGGATATTCTTTTAATGGCACTACTTATGTCTTTAAATTATTATACATAAAAACAAATATCGGTGATTGTTTTAACTCCAATTGTATAAACTTAACTTTATAAATAGTAAATCCTCACTTTAAATAATTGTCCAATGCCATAACATCTCCAATTGGTAGATGGGACTAGATAATCATATATATATCTACCAGTCACAACTTAAATGCAAAATGCCTTTAAATTAAAGAAAAAGGTAAGCATTATCACTATCATTGCGATCCTTTTGTTCTTCTCATGCTTGCAAATGCCAAATTTGCACTGGTAGGAGATCAGATAGGTCCCACAGGGGACACACAACAGGCAGAATTTTCTGGGCTCAACAATACATTCCTGGAAGGGAAGAAATTCTTAATAGTGTTAGGCAAGGCACCCAAAATAAAACGTTTACGTACGCGAAGTATCTTCCATCCTATATATAGTGGCATGCTTCTTCCAAGTTTTGAAAAGTCTGTTGTGATCTCCATTCGCTCGATCTGAAATATGTCTCTAAACATCTTAAGCAGCTCCTCTCTAGTCATGATAAACTGGAACTCGTGCTGCTTGGAGTAGATCTGGCCAGTGCTTGGAGCTTGGATAGCACCAAGAAGCCAGTCTGCGAGACAAAACACTCCTCGAGGTAGAAATGCAAAATGTGAGGTGAATTAGCTCTACTTATGACAGTTGTCATCCATGACTCAATCAAACACGTTGGAAAGAGTTCACCTTGTTAGAAGAATCATGCTACAGCCACAATGATTTTCAATCAATTAAGCCTGTCCCAAGGGGATGGTACAACCTAAGTGACGTTCAAGGTTTTTACTGTTTCCAGATGCGACTTAAACTTTCTCTCTAACTAATTTAATATTAGTTTCTATCTTTTCAGACTACTGTCATAAGTAGCCTTCTACGACATCGATCCATTCAAAACAAAAGAATGTGTAAGATAAAAGGAATGATACAAGAGAAACGACGAGGACGATGACGGTTTCTGAGAAATGCGGAGAACATAGAAATTAGAAACAAAACGAGAGGAAGGTAAACATACTTCACATCAAATGTTACAGACACCAGCTACATTTCTTGTTCACGCCAACTCCTTTGTACAAGAGCAATGGAGGTCAAGTACCTGGAGAGGGTTATTCACAAGCACAGTGGATCACTCAAAGGAGCAAGATATGATAAAGAAGCATGGCAGCAATGAGAAGCATGATTTTTTGTTTCGACTTGACAGGAGGACTGGTCGCCTAGGATCCCAGCGTGGCTTTGATGCCGACCCATCCACAAAAACCGGGAGATAAATCCCCCAATGTGAGCGAAGCTGTTGATGTGAGGCAAGATGCCCAAGTTGATGCTGATAATGATGGGATCAACACTGCGATTTGCAAGCCAAAGCAATACAAAGAAAAAATAGAAGCTTGTTTTAGTTGCAATACATCACCACGAAATTAACTTTAAAGCAAAAGGTACCTTAAAGATAAAACGGTCCTGGATGAACAATGCGGGAGGCTAGATATCAACTTACCAAAGCCAAATTCCCTCTCCAGATGAATGACACACGAGCAAACCACATGCAAGAGATTTGCCGCCACCCATGATGTTTTTTCACCACTGCTGTCAAGTCCAATGCCCCCATCTATCAATCTATAAAAGCAACAATTGATCAGAAACAATGAATCATATGATAAAACGATAGAAAAAAGAAGACGACCAACATTTCAGAGGAGGACTGGCCTTGAAAAATTTGAAGATAGCCAGGTGAGGCCGGAAAGCGATCATGAAGGGTCCTCTAGAAATAATGATATCAGTAGGATCCCATTACAAGAGGTACTCAACATATCTACCTCATTTTTGTGGCTCATCCGTCATCTTCATTGTCACCATATAGGTTAGCAATTGCCCCAAGAACTACTTCGATTGCAATCTACTTGAGCGGTGCTTGTCACCTCGCAAACCTCCCCTCCATCGAAAGCTGGATATGTTCATTCGCGTTAGAATGAACATGGGATGCGTTAGAACACTTGGATGATCACATGTTCATTCGCTGGAGTGGATTAGCCCTAGACAACTTGTTTTTTCTTTTGAAAGAAATGCGAAGAGACCAACATCCTCAAGGACACAGTGCAATGACAATGCAGTTGGAGGGAATCAAGCCGGATAGAGTGACTCTGTTAACGGTTGTCGACACCTTGGATCCCTCGGCGTTGGCAGGATCACGCTCGAGAACTGGGACTTGGGGGCCTCACCAGCCTCATGAACGTTGTCATGAGAATGTACTCGAGGTCTGGGAGCTTGGAGGAGGCAGTCCGAGTGTTTGCAGCAGGGATCTAGTTTCCTGGAACACTATCATCGGAGCCTACGTACATTTTACACACTATGATAAAGCTATCAACTTTTTCCAACAATGCAGCTCCAAGGTTTTCTAACGGACAAGATTACGTTGCTAGCAATGCTCAAGGTTTGTTAAATCCAAAGTTCTTTCTCCAAAGCGAACTGATCCATGCTGTTGTAGAGCTTGGCGAGGAGGCAGAGCTAGCCGCTGCAATCATGGGAATGTATGGCAAGTGTGGAAACCTCGGCCACAGTATTTAGCAGCAGCTCCTTCCAGCAAAGTCCGGTGACTTGGAACTCGAGGTTAGCAGCACTTAGTCAAGAGGGACAGTCGACAGAAGCTCTTGGTCTCTACAGCTGTATGCTGCTCCAAGGTGTGATGCCTGACAGAGTTACCTTCCTTGCTCTTCTCGACGTAGAAGCTCGACCGGTCGTACACGGCCATATAATCCAGCGCGGTTACGCTCGAGATTTCGTAGCCACTGCACTGCTCGACACTTACAGCAAGTGCAGGAGGCACGTTGCGTATTTCAGCCTTGGAGAAGCGCTGCCTACTTCATACTCATGCAGCTCCAGGGTGAAGCTCCAAACAAGGTGACAATGGCTTCCGTGCTGACTGCTTGCTCGAAACTGGAACTTGAAGATGATGAACTCAAGAGAGGGATGCGGGTATACCGGTGCTGCGTCGAACTTGGACATGATCGAGAGCTCGTGGTTGGAAATGCCAGCGTCCATGCCAAGCTGGGAAAGGCCTGGACTCGCAACGTTGTCCATCCTGTCGGCCTGTGGTCAAGTCGGAGAAAGCAGAGAATGCCGGTGCCTGTTCCGAGATATGCTGCTGGAGAGCGACTCCAGACCTGACAACTATACCTTCGTCACTATCCTCGGCGTTTGCAAGCAGAGCCGAGAGGATCTAAGCCATGGAAAGCTTCTTCATCAACTTGCCAGGGAGAGTAGCGGCAGCCTGGATCTTCTCGTCGCGACAGCCTTGGTTCACATGTACTCGGAATGTGGAAGCCTCGAGGACACGGCGACTTTCGGCACGATACAGCAGCCTGATGTGGTGTCTTGGAATGCGATGATTTCGGCCTTGTCGCACTATGGCGAAGAGTTTTCGACTTGTTCCAGCGGATGAAATACTCCAAAGTTGTTCCCGACAGCCTCACATTCGTTGCGGTCCTGAATGCATGCACCGCCAACTCGGAGCTCGAGCTTGGCCAACGTGTTCTCTCCGAGGCAGTCCCGGCAGGATTTGGAGCAGAAGTCGCAGCAGCCGGCATCAACATGTTTGGAAAGTGTCGAAGCCGTAGTGGAAACGTTCCTGACGCTATTGCCACACGAAAAAAGCTGGCTTGGAACGGACTGGCCACGGCGTTGGCTCACGGTGCAAGATCTAGCGAAGTGGGCCGAGTGCTCGAGCGCATGGAGCTGTCGGGCATTGATGCGGACTCGGTGACTTTCGTGAGTGTTCTCTCCACTCTGAGTCATGCCGGAGTCGTGGAGGCCCGCTGCTACCGGTTGAGCTCCATGAGCACGGGGCCGGGCTGGATTTCTGGAGGAGGCCGAGGAGATGGTGACCGTCAAACTTAGAAACAGGAGGCTGGAGCTTTCATCATCCCGAAGTAGTGGTGGCAGTGGTGATGACCCTCTCGTTGTTCTGTGGACGAGCTTCCTAGTCCATGGAGACTCGGAGCGTGGGAAGCGAACAGTGGAGAGAATTCTCGCGCGCCAGCCTGAGGACGCTGCAACATACGTCCAACGTTTTTTCTCTGGGAGGAACGTAACTTGCTTGTGTTCTTGGGTAGAACGAAAGGAGGCCTAGTAACACTGGAAGTTAGACATAGTAACTTGTTTCCAAAACTTTTACCTGTGGATCTATATTTCTTTCTCATGCGAATCTGCGCTGTTGCCAGTGACACCCTGCATGTACAGAGAACTCCTGACCCTGCACACACGACGAATTAAGTTTCTTAAATCCGACTACGCTACGTAATTAACTTACCACCACTGTTGAAGATAGCAGCGAAGAGATGCATCGCCACTAAAACCTCGAACTTCCAGAGGCGCTTCTCCATTACCAACACTCTGATCGTGCTGCGCAAAGTCCCCAGGCACTAGAGATGTAGCCGGAGAATCCACTTCTTTGGACAAAAGTGGCTGCCAAACAAAGAAAACAAAGAAGTTTAACGTTTGGAACTCTTATTAGAATGATCAATGGACTTACCCATGGTATTGGAAGAGAGGCTCCACCGTCGAGACAAGCTGGACCTTGCTCGTCCCACACCATTATAAGTAGCCTGCAAAAACAAGTTCAAAACTCCATGGCACAATCTGGTAAGAAAGAGTCGTAGCACCTGAGGAAGGCTTTGATTCGCCTGGGAGAGCGCTGGAAACTTTGCTGAAAACTCCAGCTCCAGAGTATCGTCTCCCGGTGTGCAAACCAAGGTGAGCTCCGCCTCGCCACCCTCGGTGAATGCGCCATGGACGCCTCCTTCCGGCCGAAGCTGCTGCTGCTGCTGCTGCTTCCCCATTGCGAGACTCAAGCCAGATCGATGCTCCACTGCTGTCATGGTCTCGAGCTCGTTTTCGTCGAGAGGAAGATCGCTGCTCGTGAGCTCCGGTATCTCGATGACTATATAGTCACGCGCATCAAATGCGTGATCGCAGCGAGCATCGCAAAGTGAACAGCTATCCGAGTCAGGTGGATGCCACTTGACCACCTCTATCGCCATGATCTCCTTGAAGAAGATTCAGATCCGCCGGCTCATGGCGACCAAGAGGTCACTATCGTAGCATTGATCCGCTGCCACAACCGGTGCCTCAGTATCTCCCTGTGCTTCCTCCACGGACTGGATCTTCGACTCTGGAAAATGTTAGCCCCGAAGTTTCAATCCGTCGACATGAATGAATGGACTTACTGCTCAATGATTGCCCCAGCTCGGGCTTCCGGAGCTCCTGTAGCTCCACCACCTTTTTATCATCCGGCTGTACGAGGCTGCGACACTGCCCCTGCAGTTAACGAGAGAAAAAAAAAGGAAAGGGAGAAACAGAGAATCAAGAGTAAAGACCCATAAAACTCACCTCGACAAGACCATCGATGTTAATAGCGAAGAAAGAGATCTCCTGGGCAGCAGCGAGGGATGTCCGCTTTGCGAGCTTCCACTTCTTGTGGACCAAGAACAGGGCAGCGAAATCCACCGCGATAACAAACGCAAAGAAGAGAAAGAAGAACATCATCTTATCTTTGAGACAAACCAAGCTTAGCGCGAGAGAGAAGAGAGAGAGCGCTTGAAAAGGCCCCCACACACACGACGACGCAGCTAAGTCAAAGAAGAAATCTTTGTCCCAAAGCCCAATCACAGACCGACTTAGAAAATAATATGCTGAGCTGAAAGAAAATACGCAATCAACTATTTGGAGAATGCTGAGCTGCCCTTAAGCCTTTCTTAAAGTAATCACGATTAAGCATCACTAATAAGTGCTCCCGTGCTTACTATGGCGATGGAGCTTCGTACCTGGTGCTTACCATCGCTCCACACCATATATCCCCAAGCGCGGCCTCCTGGCAGCGCTGGAGATGGCTGCGTGATCTTGAAGCTCACCGCGAACTGCTGCTTTTGTCCACTGCCTGAGAATGTGAGCCTCGAGGGCCACACGGAAACTGAAACTCCCGGTGGCGGCCTCACGAACGCCTCGTAAGTTGACGAGCAGTTTGCGACGCTGGTGAGCGTCCTCGTCACGCTCACAAGGCTGTTCGCGTTGAGCCTGGCGATTCCGATCGATGGATAGTTGAAGTTGCTCACCGGTTCCTGGTGGGCGGGACACGAGAAGTTATCCTGGCCTGAGATTTTGCGGACGGTGCTGGTGTTGAACTTGAGGCTGCAGAGCAGCAGGAGATAATCCTGGGGAGCAGCGTCGTAGACCAAGCCGGGGTCCGCTGCTGCGTTGGGATCGACGTGACCCGAGCCAAAGTTGAAGGCACCGGCGACTTGAGAATCATCCGCGAGGATGAGCTGCTCGCGGTTGTCCCGAGATCTTGCTGTTTCGAGGCGATTAAGTCAGTACTATACAAAGAAACAAGAAACTCTCACCGGTAGTGACTATAGCTGACATGATCGCAGCTGGACTCCACTCGGGATACAAAGCTTTGAGCATGGACGCGACGCCAGAGACGTGAGGACAGGCCATGGACGTCCCAGAGGCTACGACGAACTTGAGAGCTCGAGTGCTGTTGTTGGTTATGGGAGATGCTGCCTCGGAAAACGATGCCAGGATGTTTACACCAGGAGCAGTGACGTCCGGCTGCATTTTAGAAATTGATCATGACTTGAGCAAGAAAAAATGGATAGCGACCTTTAGGATGTCGGGGATGAGCATGTTGGGCCCGCGGGACGAGAAGGGAGCCATAGTTGGAGCCGGTTTGATGCCGGTGACAGTAGTGGAAGCTGTGAGAGTTGCAGTCGGCGAGCTACAAAAGCATGTCTAGAACTTTAGCCTTTCAAGAGCATCTCGAGGACGCACCTTGACGCATTCAAGTATGCAAAGATGGCTGCGGCAGCTTCCGAGTTGACGTTGGTTGCTGGAAGGACGTGAAAAGCAGCCTGCGTTTGGCTCCCATCCGACGGGGAATTCGCCAGGATCATCCCGACGCCTCCGGCAAGCTGCACGACTTGTCCTTTGGAGAGTTGGCTCCCCGAGCCGCGCAAGCAAACGACGATCTTCCCTTTGGCCTTCTCCGGATCCAGCGAGCCCGCATTGCACAAGAGGCTGGCGACAAGAAGCAAGCTTGCTTAAGTGGAGATGCAAAAGTTCTTTAGACTTACCTGTCGGAGGCATTGGAGGAGGAAGCCGGGATGGCACCACCGGAGATGAGAGGATACTGGTGAGCTCCATCGTCAAGCTTAAAATCGGACATACTGCTTCCCTTCGAGACACATAAGAGACGCATGAGCAAAAGATGGTATGGTAGCAAAAGAGATTACTCGGAACGTCGAGTTGTCGCCGAGAACAACCGTGGAGCAAAAGTCGCGGTCAGTGCTGCTGGCAGCAACAGTAAGGACCCAAGGTGCTACGTTGACAACGCTTCCGAAAGCTGGCCCCCCGTTTCCAGCCGAGCAAACGACAGCGATTCCCTTCTGGACAGCGTGATATGCACCGATGGATATGGCGTCCTCAAAGAGCTGCGAGAGAGGCTGCGAGCCGCCGAGCGAGAAAGTGAGAATGTCGACGCCATCCTGGATTGCGTCGTCCATCGCAGCGAGAATATCAGCATCGTAGCAGAGAGTACCAGTCGCTTCCTTCTGCCAGCAGACTTTATAGACGGCAAGCCTCGCGAGTGGCGCTCCTCCTTTGGCTGTCCCATTGCCGAGGCCCAGGAAGCTTGCTTGCGGGACGAAGCGGCCTCCAGCTATGGAGGAAGTGTGAGTCCCGTGGCCTTTTTTGTCTCGTGGAGATTTGAAGTCCCCAGTCGAGTTCACGTTGAGAGGACCATTTTCCAGCTCGAAGCCTTTGATGTAGTACCTGGCACCGATCAACTTCCTGAAGAAACCAGCTGTTAGCTCTTTTTTTCTTCGTCATCTTTTGTAAATTAACCTGTTGCAGTGAGATGTGTTGAACGCTGTGCCACTCACACACTTCCCTTTCCATTTGCTTGGCACGGCATCGAAGCTCTCGTCGTTAAAACTTTCTGACTCGGGCCAAATTCCTTCAAGAAAAGAACTTAAATCTCTATAGTCTTCCTCGTTATTGCCATACCTGTGTCAAGAGATCCAATGATCACATCTTTGCCGAAGTTGGATCTGCTCCACAAAGAAGACGCTGGAATCTCACCACCCTGTGACTCTAGTTGCATGAAGTCCCAGCTATGAGTTGTGTGTAGGTAGTTTTCCTTGTTCGGAAAAACGGACAAAACTCCAGGAATTCCTAGCGAGCGGTAGCAGGATTTTAGCTCAGGAGCAAAAAGAGAGAAACGTACTTGAAATGTCGGCAGCTTGCTCCGGGCGTAACTTAGCAGCAAATCCATTGAAGCCATGAGTGTAGCTGTAGAAGATGGCCCTTTGAGCAGCCCGGAGACTGGAATCCAACACAAAGCTTAGGAAATCTTGTCTCGTGTGAAGAAAAAACATTTCACCTCTGGAAGACGGGCCGCAAAATTTCTTGGTGGGAAGCAACAAGCTTCTGTTTGTCTACAGTTTCAGGACTGCTTCCAAGGTATACAATGTAGCTCTGCAAAGGGAAACAAAAAGTTGGAAAAACTATCAAATACTCTCTGTTGTACCTGTGAGGGAGACGCCGAAGATATCTCCAAGCCAAACTCGAAGCTCACTAGAACCAAAACCAGTAAAGTGGCTCTCAAGAGCTCCATGAATCTCCTCTTTCACAACTGAGGTTTCTCGAGAGCTTTTCTCAAGAAAAAACCAGCGCGAGCTTTGCTTCCAAGCGAGGGATGTCATGATTTGCGTCGAGGAGTGATGCGTAATCCAGGAACAGGAGCTACAGGAGTTCTCTGCTGCTGCTGGTTAATGTTCGAGAGGAGGATGTAGGCCGCTACGTTCTTGGGATCCTTTTCCAGTGCCAGAGCCGCGGCCTCCCTCCCAAACTCCACGCTGTTGTGACTTGAGCAAGCTCCAAGGAAGCAGCTCCAGTCCACAACGTCGGCCTCAAAAGGCATGCTTTGGATCAAATCACTGGCATCAGTCAGGTATCCAGCTCGTCCCAGCAGATCGAGAAGACAGCAGTAATGCTGCTTGGTGGCTCTCAATCCAAAGTCTCCAACCATGGACAGGAAATACGATCTTCCATCGCGAACTTTGCCGTGGTGAGTGCAAGCCGCCAGGATCGAAAGGAAGCAAACGTGGTCGATCTTTTGCTCCGCCAGCTTGATCTCGTCAAAGAGTAGCTTCGACTCGTAAAGCTCCCTGTTGTGAGCAAACGCTGCCAGGAGCACGGAGCGGCCAACTAGGTGTTGATGTGGCATCCGACTCAGCAGCTTCTCCGCCACGTCAAGATGCCCGGCCTGGGCAATTGCTCCGAGCATTAGCGCCCACGTCGTAGCGTCCCTCTCCGGCATGGAGTGGAACGTCTGTGTTGCCTGGTCGAGTTGGCGCCACTTGGCATACACACTCAGAACGGTGTTCCAAGCTGGCAGTATTGTCTGCGGCATCTCGTTAAATAACTGGACAGCCTCCTCCAGATGTCCGGACGTGGCATATGCCGTCAACATGGAACTCCACGTCGTCAAGCTCCGCCACTCCATCCTGTCGAATATTCTCTGCGCCTGATCCAAATGCCCAACATTGGCATATGCCGTCAGCAGTGACGTGTACGAGATAACATCGTGCTCTGGCATCGAGTTGAACAGCCGCAGTGCCGCGTTGGGCAAGCAGCTGTGTGCGTGGCACGCCAGCATGGCGTTGAACGAGCTGAGGCTGTGATGTGGCATCGCGTGGAAGAGCCTCTCGGCCTCGTCGGCGCAGTCGGCTGCCACGTTGGCCGCCAGCAGGGCGTTCCACGCCACCACGTTTTGCTCCGGCATCTGATCAAACAGCCTCTTTGCCACGTTGGCGTCACCATGGTGGGCATTTGCAGCAATGAGGAGCGTCCACGCTACCAGGTTGCGCTGGGGCATCCGGTCAAAGATTAACTTTGCTCTTACCAGGTTGTCGTCGTGGCAGTAGCCCCCCAGCATGGACGTCCACGCCACCATGTCCCTGGCGGGCATCTGTTCAAACAGACCCCTCGCTAGAGCAAGAAGCCCATTTTGGGTATATACCGCCAACATTAGCGACCACGCGATAAGATCCCTCTCGGGCATCTCGTCGAAGACGCGCTTCGCCCTAGAGATCTGGCCGTGATGTCCGTACACCTCTAGCAGCGTGGAGAAATAGATCATATCGCGCAGTGGAGCTGTGGCAAAGAGCTCCTCCGCTTGATCCAGATGCCCATTCCGAGCAAATGCCGCGGTCATGGATGTCCAGATGATGAGATTCCTCTCCGGCATTCCATCGAACAGCGCCTTGGCGAGATCAATCTGGCCGTCCTGCGCGAGTGCGTTGATCAACGGGGTGAAGGACAGCAGGCTCCAATACGGCATCGAATCGAAGATTTGCTTGGATAGGCGCGCGTTGCCCGATTGCGCGGACTGGGCGAGGAGCGCATTGCAGGAGATTAGAGTGTCTGGCGGCGCCATCGCGGAGCCCGGGCATCGCAAGAACCCTAGGTCAATCACAGTCGTCGGTTTCAAACGTATCGGGGCCGTTGTTGGACACGCCACGAAGGGACACGAGCGCTTTGGGGCAGCTCTTGCGCGAGCGATGAATTAGGGTTCTTGGTTCTTCTTTCTGGGAGGAGCGGGAGATGATCGAGGCCTGGGGGATTTTGCGGGCAGAATGGGCCTGCTACTGTGGAACAAGCTCGTCGCGACGGTCGCATCGGGGATCGCCGCGGGCGCCGTGTACGTGACCGCCAAGCTCACATTCTCGCTCTTCGTCTGGGGGCTCTACGCAGGCGCGGCATTCCTCTCGGCAAAGCTCCTGTTTGGAAGATTGAGCGGCGGCGGCGGCACTCGGCCTCCATTCTGGTAAAGAATCTCTCGCAAGCGCGACTCTAGGGTTCTCGTAAGCGAAGCGCCAAGATTTCTTGATGGTAAGCTCCGTAAATTTCCTATCCAGTAGCTCCAATCCGATCTTCTTGCAGGATCATCATCCACACTACTACCGAGGACGCGATGGATTGCCGCATTTCACCGCCATGGACTCGCTGGATCTCAATCTCCACCTAGCGCCGCCCCCAGCAGCCGTGCATCCGGCCGCGACGCCGCCATATCCACTGTGGCAGCCATCGCGATCGGAGTTCATAGGCCACGGCATGTTTAACTTCCAGCCTCTGCCGACGCCACAGCCGATCTGGACGAGGTTCTTCCTCGAGTATCCGCCCAGCCCCAGCCCGCCATCGCCAGGGGAGATCGACTTTAGCAACCCGTACCATTACCACGACTACCACCACGAACACCACTCGCCCTTCTGGGGGATGGATTTCTCCGACGTTGACTCTGGGCAGGAGCTCGACCTGGATCTCTCGCCGCTCCTCCACGACCACTTTCTCCGCGAGGAAGACGACGAGCTGGAAGCGGCATTGCTCGAAGGAGAAGAGCAGCACCATCAAGAAGATGGCGATCGAGATCACGAGCAGGATTGGTGGGGTGCCAGGAGCAGCAGCGCTGCTACGACCACCAGATTGAATTCAAGCGGCAGAGCGACACCGGCAGCAGCAGTGGCGGCGGTGGCTGCCACTGAAGCTCCACAGTCATCGTCCTCAAAGTCTCAATATCTCCCGAGGAAGAAGAACAGCGCGTCAGCTTCTTCGCTGGATTTGAATTCCCAGCAGCACCAGCAGCAGCAGCAGGATGAAGATCAAAGCCAGGCCAAGCTACTCTGCGACGATCAAGAGCAACAGCAGCAGCGATCCGGATCCGCCAAGGAGTTCTTCTTCGATTGCAACGTTTGCTTCGATGTGGCGAGCGAGCCGGTGGTGACGAGCTGCGGCCACCTCTTTTGCTGGCCCTGCCTCTACCAGTGGCTCCACGTCCACTCCCACAATGACGAGTGCCCGGTCTGCAAGGGCGCCGTCTCGGACGCTGACGTCATACCCATTTACGGCCGCGGCGGCGACGGCGGCCCCAGCGTGGAGCGATCCTGCCCGTCCGCCAGCATATTCGCGCAGCACATCCCGCCCCGGCCGCGCGCCCGCCGGGCCGACTCGGTCCGGCTGCGCCACCCTGGCACAGACGTGGCGCTGGCGGAGATGCTGAGATGGCGGAGGTTCATGCGCATGTGGCACCAGCACACCAGCCGTCTGATGCTGGAGAGGCGTGGCGCGATCGACGGTGGGGGGCGGCCGGCGATGGTGCCCGCGTCCATGATCGACCAGCTCCATCACCAGTGGCCATACAATGTGGCCAGTACGGAACTAGAGAGGCGGATGTAAGGAGAGAGCCAGGGAATATGCTTCGGGTGGATATGAAACGCCGGTTCCTATTTTGTTTTTTGAATTGGCCGGGATTTGGTGGGAAAACGAGACATAGGGTTCTTAAGAGAGCGAGGAGGAAGGATCGTCCAGGGCGCCCAGCGGTGAGTGCGTTTCTCGATCGGTTCTGGCCTGGAAAGGAGTGATTATGGCTGGCGCTGGCGTCGCGAGGCAGAGCAGGCGGCGGACCAAGCCAGCTGCCGCGGCTGACACGGAGGCGGCGGCGGCGATCGAGGCCCAGCGTGCTGCTGTTGCTGCAGCTACCAATCTTCCTCTTCCTTCATTCAATTTTGCTACCAAGGAGGCGCTCCCGACCAGGACTGTGGCCGCGTCCAGGGCGAAGGCGCTCAAGGAGAAGAATGCCGCTGCCGACGCAGCGGCTCCTGCCGCTAAGAAGAACCTTCAGGGGGAGTTCCAGGATTCTTGCCAGGAGATCCGCAAGAGCTGGGAGTTTTTCTCCGCCGCCAAGGTGTTTCTCCTCCTCTTCGCGGCTGCGGGGATAAGCACCACGCTGTTGAGCCTCCGCGAGAGCGATCAAGGGCAGCTTCTCCCTGAGACGCCCACGGCAGCGAAGGTCTCGGAGGTGGAGGATTTCATGAGGAAGACGAGCAAGTGGTTGCAAGTGCAGCTGGATGTGGTGGACGACAAGATCGGCAAGGAAGTGTCGGGCGTTCGATCGGAGCTGGAGGAGAAGCTGTCGGAGAGGACCCGGGGCTTCGAGAAGGACATTGGAAGCATCAAGGCTCAGGTCCAAAAGGTGGACAACTCGCTCAAGATGCTCTACAGCCAGGAGCTCTTGTCCAGGGAGGAGACTTTGGAGCTCGTCAAGTCGGCCATGGACCAGCGCGCTCGAGAAGGGAGTGACAAGGCCATTAGCCTGGACGACGTGCGCGCAGCCGCGAGAAAGGTGGTGCAGAGTGAACTGGAGACGCATGCCGCGGATGGGATCGGGAGAGTGGATTTTGCTCTGGAAAGTGGTGGAGGAAAGGTGGTTCATCACTCGGACGGCTACTTCCAGGGGCTGCACTGGACCAGGCTGGGGATTCATGTCCTCCCGGGTGTTTTTCGGAGGCACCCGATGGCTGATAGGCTTCTCCGGCCCAGCTTTGGAGAGCCCGGGCAGTGTCTGCCTCTCAAAGGCAGCAATGTGACAGTGGACATCAGGCTGCGGGCTCACATTTTTCCAGAAGCGGTGACATTGGAGCACTTGTCTAAGGTAACGCAAAAGTTGATTTTCTCTTTGTGTTTCTCGGCCTAACAGCTTGCTTTCTCAGAAAGTAGCCTATGACCCAAGAAGTGCACCCAGAGATTTCGAGATCTGTGCTTGGCGTACTGTGAAAGACGACGTTCTCGATGCCAGGAACGTTACTTCTCTTGGGAGGTTCACGTATGATCTCGAAAAAGGAAGCATCCAGACATTCGATCTTTCCGACAAGCCGACATCTTCAGTCAACATGATCCGGTTGCACGTTCTCTCAAACTACGGCAGTCCGACGCACACTTGCTTGTATCGGTTGCGAGTACATGGCACTGAGGACGGAGTTATGGCTTGAGGAAACAGATGGGAGGCGCTTGTACAGTATGGTAGAGTTAGAGGGAGTTGCTATAGGGTTTTGGCAATGGCAGTGAATGCTAGGCAGTCAGCTCCGCCTCCTACATTTCTGGGTGCTGGTGCCAAGACAAGGAAAAAGGTGGGATCACTCTGCTCGTCTTGTTCACCGAGTTTTGGCTCCGAGGATCAGGCTCCTGAGTTTGTGAGAGGCAAGCTTCTTAGTGAACTATCGACTTGGGGCATTGGCGGAGCTGCGCGGCTCTTTGTAGAAGTCCGAAACAGAGAGCAGCTCGTTTCTTCTATAAGGTATGTTGTTTTTTTTTCACTGTCTCTGTCGTAGTTGAGCATTTCCTTCACAGGCACTGCCGCGAGCACAACCTCAAGTTCCTGGCTCTGGGAAAAGGATCCAATTGCCTCTTCGACGATCGCGGATTCGACGGCTGTGTAATCCTCAGTCGCATCAACGACATGCACGAGAATGGCTGTGGACGCTACCGAGTTGGCAGTGGCTATCCTTTCAATCTCCTGGGGATTCACACGTCAAAGCAGGGTTTCGGGGGGCTCGAGTTTGCGTCTGGCATTCCTGGGACTGTAGGCGGGGCAGTGTTTATGAATGCTGGAGCTGATGGCCAGGTATGTCTTTGATCCTTCCATGTTTTCAAGTAAGTAAAACCCGAGCATCAACTTGTTGCGTCTAGGAAACAATAGAAGTCCTCGAGGCGGTGGAGTTCGTCGACACGAACGGACAAACACGCGAGCTGCTGAAGAAACAAGGAGAGCTTGCCTGCAGCTACCGGAAGTCTCCATTCCAGGGAATGCCAGACCTTGGAGCCATTCTCTCCGCCACCTTCCAGCTCCAGCCGTGCCCTCTCTCTCGCGACAGGCAAAGAGACTATCTCGCCAGGTGAGAGCTCAGCCTTCTCCCATCACTTCCATCTAACATCACGACCTTCCGGCAGGAGAAAGCAAACCCAGCCAGTGAACGAGCGAAGCGCAGGGTGTGTGTTTCGAAATCCAGGCAAGGGGTGCCAATCAGCGGGAGCCTTGATAGAGGCCGTGGGGCTCAAAGGGCTGAGGATTGGAGGAGCAAAGGTGTCCGAGCTTCACGCCAACTTCTTGATCAACACGGGCGGCGCCAAAGCCAGCGACGTCTTGTCCCTCATCTCGGTGATCAAGGACCGCGTGAGAGCCGAGAGTGGCATCCAGTTGGAGCAGGAAGTACGTTACATCCCGTACTAGAAGCTCCCTCCTCCACAACCAGGTACACGGGAGAGAGAAAAAGGAAGCTTTCATTCTCAATGTCTAGTGTTTGCTTTTCTTTTTGTTCATGCTTCCTTCTCCTTCCAAGATGTGAGTGTAATCCTCGGCACTTGCATATAGAGATTTTCTCTTTGACCCCGTTGATCCATCTTGTGTCCTGTTCTTCGCGCCCCTTCTGTTCTTGTTCTTCGTCTTGTCCTTCGTATCCTCCATGAAGATCTCATCGAACTCGTCATCATCGGAGCTCTCATCTTCATCGTCGGGTACGTTCTTTGCGCTCTTCTTCTTCTTCTTACTGTTTTTCTTGTCTACAGCCAGAACCTCGGGTAGCTTCTCGTCGTCGTCGGATGAATCATCGTCGTCGTCCTGTAGATCAAACTCTGCACCCTCCGAGTCATTTTCATCGAGCAGTCTATCGATTTCTTCCTCTCCCGAATCCCCTTCGTCGTCTACCAAACCAGCATCACCACCTTCTTCATCTTCATCATCGCCTTCTTCATCATCGCTGCTAAGTTCTTCGTCACTTCCAACCATGTCGTCATCAAAGTCCTCGAGCGCCTTCTTTTTCTTCTTCACGCGTTTGCCCATAGCCTCGGCCTTTGCGCGGTAAAACCTGTGGAAGATCAGATCCGATGGAGCAACGTCGTCTTCCGCCAAGGACGCCAACTTCATGCCCACGGGCGCATTTGAAACAGCCTCCTGGAATCAAAGCTTCATGAGTGAAAAGAAGTAGAAAAAAAAATTGTCACCTTTTTGGTACTGTCAATCCCGATCTTGCGAGCTTTCGGCTTCCTTTCAGCGAAACGATCCAGAAAAGCGGTGAAGGCAAGGTCCTGAATTGGGTCACCAGAGTAAACAACCGCGGCATTTGAGAGAATCGTTTTGGCCATTGTTGAAACGGATGGATGAATGTGTGATGCGAGGATGGCAAGCTCCCACCAACAAGTTTGATCAGCTTTACTGCACAGATCATGATGTGAGAATTTTTTTTTTAAAGAAACCCACACTTACCAGTGGAGTGGATCACGATGTCGAGGATCATAACCTTTCGAGTTACGAGTATATTTCGCAGCTTCGCCCAGCAGCGGACTAGCTTTAGCTGTAGGCATGGCCTGCATTTTCTTCCCAGTTTCTTTTCTGTTGAATTCAGTCTCGCTGTCACCGTCTTCTCCAAGCGCCGCTGCCATTTCAACGTCTACATCGATCTCTGAATCGCTATCGTCACGCAAAGGCTCTTTGCTAGCAGCATCTGGCAGCAACGCAGGCACATCTTGGTTCTCCGGTAGTTCCACGTCCTTGAAGTGTTCGATGTCATCGCCTTGGCTTGAAGGTTCTAAGATAAAGTTCCTGTAAACATTACAAAGCATTAAAAACATGAAAATCTTTGAAACAGAATGAGCATCGCCCACCATAGAATGTGTTTGGCCTTCAACACCTCTGACAAAAGCACCAGAAAAGCGCATCCTAGCTCGGGCGATTGGTGTACAGCTACCTGAAATAGACCCTGAAAACGCCACAAAAAAACTATCTTGAAGATACCTGCATGAGGCGCTTTATAAATCCACAAGTCCGACTCGTGCTTACGTCGGACCTCAGAACCTTAAAAACTAGAGCAAGATACATCTCAATCTGAAACGCCACATATTAAAACATCTCTAGCAACAGTTCCTCGAGGAATCTCACCTTAGAAGATTTTAGAAGCGCAGGCGAAAGCATAACAGAATAAAGAGCACGGTAGAAACGTTCGCTGACGGTTTGATGCTTAGCGAGAATCTGATGCAAAAGGAGAAGAGCTTGCACTGCGACATTAAAATTTGTAGAGTGTGCCTAAACAAAAGGATTAATACGCCATTTAGATCGACAAGAAAATCCTTACCAGAAGGAACAAGGACGGCGTGTGTTCCTCGATAATGTTTTCAGCGCTGTCCTCGGTTACGAATCGAAAAGCCTTGTTTACTCCCTACAGTACACAGTAGAAAAGGTACAAGGATGCCGTGAGCAAGACTTACTGTCAAAAGTGACGATATTAATCGCGAATCGAGAGCTGAAGCTTCGCTGTTGGAATTATCTTCATTTGTAGCGCCCTCAGACTGCTTTCGTGGTTTCTTTTGCGGATTTGTATCTTTCTTCATTCCACGACTGGTGATGGTCTAAGCATTCAAAATTGATCCTTTCAAGAAGAAACAGACAGCCAAGCATACCTTAAACATTACAAAATAAATGTCGATCAGCTGTTTCGCAAGATTTGGGCCTTCGCCTTTATAGCTTAGTCGTAATTGGTTCATGAACACGGACTAGGAAATAGGACAGATTAGTAACATTTTGCAATTTGAAAACGAAAAGAGCAAACAAGTAAATTACAGCATAGTAAATTGCGCGCATTCCAAGATTTGGCCGAAACATAAATGCCTCCACTTCGTTCAACACTACTTTCTGCAACAAAAGTATGAGCCACTAGCTCAAATGAATCTGAGGTATCAGTTACCGTCATATTGGGATGTTCTTTCAAAAGGCACGACAGAAAATAACCAGCATTGGAGGCAGCCTTTCTCTCAGGATCACCAAGCTGCCCATAACGAGCGTAAACAATGCAGTGAAATAACTGTAAGTAATACCTTGTTAACGACAGCTGAGAGCAGCTTCTTTTCTTGTTCCGGCTTCGCCTTCAAGAGTTCGTACAGAGTCTATGGAAACTATTCTTAAGCGGGAAAATGTAGAATTTCATCGAACGAGTACCTTCACTGTTTTCAGCTTAAGGTAGACAAGCGCATCTTTGGTTCCCTCTATAACAGCATTCACGAACTTCTCGTACCTGAATAAAAAAAATCGGTCAGTGAGCAAGCAGGGCAACAGATGAAAAATCACAGAACACCTCTCTTTAATGCAATCCTCCCAAAACCACCACAAAAGGAGAATTGCACCTTCTTTGGTTTCAGGCAAAGTCGCGAGAGGTTGCCGAGCAAAATATGTTAGTTTCCGATCTGGCAACAAGCTGACGCCTGGTTAAGTTAAAATCTCAAGAGGAAAACAATCAAACTTGGAAGCTACCTCATGATAAACAATTCTTTCAACACGTCTAGCCCGGATAAGGCGTGTCGTTTGCCTCCCTTCGAGGTAACCATTGCTGAAAAAGAAGCGTTACCACAAACCTAAGACACACACTCGAACCAATACTTACCGAGAAGCGAGTCCAGCGTCTGAAGATTTGCCACAGGATTTTCCTGGATCAAGATAGTCATGGCAGCAACTTTGTCTCCAGAAGTTCCCGACCTGCGAGCGGATTGGATCATCCTCATGTCACTGCTGTTCCGCCTTGATCTCTCGAACTCCACCGCAACCAGCTGGAGCAATGCCTCGGCCTCCTTGCGTTTCAGCTGGACAAAACCATCAGCCACCTCTTTCTCCGGTTCCACGAACTGGATAGCCGACGAAATCCCCGCGGCAGTCTCGTACCATTTCTCGCCACTTCCGGCCCAGCGCGAAAGCGAGTGAACGACATCCTTCCCAAACCTGACCTTGGCTACGCTCACATTTACTTTCTTCGCCTCGTTCTTCCAGTCCTCGGCCCTTGGCTTCGGTGGAGGCCATTTCCTAGCTTGAGAGCCCGCATTTCTACCATCTCTTCTACTGTTACCTCCGGTTTCCTTCTTCTTCCTGGGGATCCTCTGGGATTTCTCTGCCTTGTCGGGATTTCTGGCGGTGCCGCGCTTCAGAGGCCCCTTCTTCCGGAAATCCGCATCATTGAAGCCCACCTGCGACGAGGCGAGCCCCAAATTCGCAGCGAACGAGGCGACATCGGCTTTCAGCTCCTCGTCAGTCATTCCTTAAACCCTAGTCTATAAACCCTAAAACAAGGAATATACTATTTCTTAAAGGACCAGCGGGGCTAAAATCATATTCTTCTAGGGCTAAGTCGGCCATTTTTATTTTTATTGGACTGCGTGTGTGTGGGCACTCTTCTCTCTCTCGCGCGCGCCAAGCTTCGCTCGTCTCAAAGATGGTGTTCTTCTTCCTCTTCTTTGCGGTGGTTATCGTGGTGGATTTTTCTGCCCTTTTCTTGGTCCACAAGGAGTGGAAGCTCGCCAAGAGGACATCCCTCGCTGCAGCCCAGGAAATCTCTTCAATCGCTATTGACATCGACGCTCTTGTTGAGGTGAGTTTAAGGGTCTTTCTCTCTTGAATCTTGATTCTCTGTTTCCCTCTTTCCTTTTTTTTGTTCTTGCTCGTTAACCTCTTTTCTGCGCAGGGGGCCGCCCGAGCTGCAGCTCATTCTCCGTGATGACGAAAAGGTGGTGGAGCTACAGGAACTCGCCCAAAGCTCGGGCAACCTTGGGCATGGAAGTCACCTCAATTGATTAAAACTTTGGCCTGACATTTTGGAAGATCATATAGATCCACAGGTAAAAGTTTCGAAAACAAGTTACAATGTCTGACTTCCCGTGTTACTCTTTAGGACACGAGCAAGTTACGTTCCTCCCAGAGAAGCAATGTTGGACAAGACTACGTACGTTGCAGCATCCTCGGGCTGGCGCGCGAGAATTCTCTCCACTGCTCGCTTCCCACGCTCCGAGTCTCCATGGATCCCGCACGCAGCTAGGAAGCTCGTCCAGAGAACGACGAGAGGGTCATCACCACTGCCACCACTACTTCGGGATGATGAAAGCTCCTGCCTCCTGTTTCTAAGTTTGACGGCCACCATCTCCTCGGCCTCGTCCAGCAATCCAGCCCGGCCGAGCACGTCGATCACGCAGCAGTAGTGTGTAGCCGATGGAGTAAGGCCGTGATCCGTGCTCATGGAGCTCAACTGGTAGCAGCAGGCCTCCACGAATCCGGCATGACTCAGTGTGGAGAGAACGCTCACGAAAGTCACCAAGTCCGGATCAATGCCCGATAGCCGCATGCACTCGAGCACTCGGATCACTTCGCTCGGCCTTGCGCCGTGGGCCAACGCCGTGGCCAGTCCGTTCCAAGCCAGCAAGCTTTTCTCGTGTGGCACTAGCGTCAGGAACGTTTCCACTGCGGCTTCCAGCTTTCCACACTTTCCAAACAGGTTGATGCCGGCTGCTGCGACTTCTGCTCCAAATCCTGCCCGGACTGCCTCGGAGAAAACACGTTGGCCAAGCTCGAGCTCCGAGTTGGCGGTGCATGCATTCAGGACCGCAACGAATGTGAGGCTGTCGGGAGCAACTTTGGAGTCTTTCATCCGCTGGAACAAGTCGAAAACTCTCTGGAACTCGCCATAGTGCGACAGGGCCGAGATCATCGCATTCCAAGACACCACATCAGGCTGCTGTATCGTGCCGAAAGTCGTCGCCGCGTCCTCGAGGCTTCCACATTCCGAGTACATGTGAACCAAGGCTGTTGCGACGATAAGATCCAGGCTGCCGCTGCTCTCCCTGGCAAGTTGATGAAGAATCCTTCCATGAGTTAGATCCTCTCGGCTCTGCTTGCAAACGCCTAGGATGGTGATGAAGGTATAGTTGTCAGGTCTGGAGTCGCTCTCCAGCAGCATATGTCGAAACAGGCACCGGCATTCCCTGCTTTCTCCGACTTGAGCACAGGCCGACAGGATGGAGTTCCAGCTGACAACGTTGCGAGTCCACATCCTAGAGAAGATCTCACGGGCCTCCCTCAAGTTTCCCAGTTTGGCATGCACGCTCAGAGCGGCATTTCCAACCACGAGCTCTCGATCTTGTCCAAGTTCGACGCAGCACCGGTATACCCGCATCACGCTCTTGAGTTCATCAGCTTCAAGTTCCACTTTCGAGCAAGCAGTCAGCACGGCAGCCATTGTCACCTTGTTTGGAGCTTCACCCTGGAGCTGCATGAGTTGGAAATACAGCAGCGCTTCTCCAAAGAAACCGTGCTGCCCGTAGGCGGAGACCATGGCAGTCCAGCAAACAACGTTGCGGTCTCCAAGGCTGAGTGTTTCAAATACGCAACGTGCCTCCTCCAGCCTTCCGCACTTGCTGTAAGTGTCGAGCAGTGCAGTGGCTACGAACGTATCTCGAGCGTAACCACGCTGGATTATATGGCCGTGTAGTCCCTCCACAACCGGTCGAGCTTCTAAAGTGG